GTGGCCCTCAGGATACACAATTCCTGTTCTGTCAACTGTGGAGGTTCTTTAAAGGTAAAGGTAAAAGGGACCCCTGACCGTTAGGTCCAGTTGCGGATGACTCTGGGGTTGTGTCGTTCATCTCGCTTTATTGGCTGAGGGAGCCGGCATACAGCTTCCGGGTCATGGGGCCAGCATGACTAAGCCGCTTCTGGCAAACCAAAGCAGTGCATGGAAACACCATTTACCTTCCCGCCGAAGCAGTACCTATTTATCTACTTGCACTTTGATTCTTTAAGCGGTTCTTTAAAAGGTAAAGGTACCCCTGCCCGTACGGGCCAGTCGTATCCGACTCTAGGGTTGTGCGCCCATCTCACTTAAGAGTCCGGGGGCCAGCGCTGTCCGGACACTTCCGGGTCATGTGGCCAGCGTGACGAAGCTGCTCTGGCGAGCCGGCACCAGCGCAGCACACGGAAACACCGTTTACCTTCCCACTAGAAAGCGGTACCTATTTATCCACTTGCACTTAGGGGTGCTTTCGAACTGCTAGGTGGGCAGGAGCTGGGACCGAAAGACGGGAGCTCACCCCGCCGTGAGGATTCGAACCGCCGACCATGCGATCGGCAAGCCCTAGGCGCCGAGGTTTTACCCACAGCGCCACCCGCGTCCCAAGCGGTTCTTTAAGCGGGGTTAAATAGTGCCACCTAATGGCAGTTAACAGCAATACACACTTTGGTGCTATCTAATTGACTGTTAACATTTTAATTGCAAAGGTAGAACTCTTGGTAAATTTATCCAGTTAGAATACTAAATTTTGGAGTCACCCAAATACTTGCCTAGTTCGTAAGAGGAAAGTAATTTTCCCTCCCCTTTCCCTGACATAGCAGTCAAAAATAAAAAGGAAAAGGGTATCTAGCTATCACAATTAGGAGCAAGCACTTAGGTTAATTAAAACATCCTACTCTTTCCCAGTTACAATGTGTGACTGACATGATCATCTAAAATTTTAATTTTCTCTTAAAATAGAACAGCTAATAAGCCTCCCATAAACCTTTCAGACCAAAGAGCTTCAGCACACCAGGACACCCGGGCAGAATTGAAAAATGCAGGTGGGAGGATAGTCTGCATCACACAGGGCCCTGACTTACTTTATTTATACATCACAATGTGAGATCAAAGTGATACAGTAGCGTGGGAGGGGTTACCATGCATTTGGATTCTGTGCAAATGTGTTGTTTCAGAGAGTAATGAGTTGAAATGGGGAAATCTTATCCAGTCTCTCTGTTCTGTGTGTCTTTTGGCACCCTGCTCCTTCTCTACATCCCTTAAACGGACTGGCCATTTTGCATTTGTATCAGGGGCTCAAACTAATACCCCTCACGTGCTGAAAGGAAGGCGGGGAAGAGCCCATCAGCCCCTTCCTGCCATACCCACTGGCTTTACAGCCCCACACATTTGGCAAGGATGAGAAAGGGCTGTGTGTGCATATCAATGTGCAATGATCTCTTCCATTTAAATGGGGGGGGGGGTCATTACATTCAGTTCATGTGTTGATCTGTACCTAGGGTTGTCAATTGCCTGCTGTGGAGGTGCATGCTTTGACAGTATGAAGGAAGTCAAGCTGAACCCACCTACCACCTACAAATTCATCCATCCCTATTTGCAAGCCAGCTGGTTTCTGTATTCTGAAATGCACATTGTTGTTTTAAATCTGAACAATGTCTATGTACATTGGTAGTAAACCACTAATGGGAACAGGTTTCCTTCTCTTCCGAGACATGGAACCATCGAATCTTCCATTAATACAGGAAGCTTCTAATGGTTCGGACTCTCTCTTTTTCCTAGTATGGCTTACTCCAACTGGCAGTGGCGCTCCAGCAGAAGCCTTTTCAGCTACTGATGGTGGCATGCTAAGCAGAAACTGTATCTTGGCTGTTATGCAGTACAATGCCAGTGTGAAGATTTAAAGCCAAACGTGTACTGCAAAAAGAAGAGAACACCATCATTCTTTCCCACATATTTCTTTCATAACCATGAAGTTTCGTGGCCTTTAGCTATTCTGCTACTGAAGCAGTACTATTGAAACAGGACGACGTTTCAGGAGCAGCGACTTAAAATGCAGGTGTTTTTTGTGTTTGTTGCTTTCACGGACAGGTGCCCCACTAGAAATAAGTGACCTTTCAACCACGTCCAGATAAGCGCCTGTCAACTTTGTACAGAATAAAAGTCCTAAAGGGCGGTGGGGAAAGGGGGGAGCAGCAACACTGGGCATATCATTTGGTGCTCTTGCAAGAGCAGATATTATAATCAAATTCCCTTACTCCCCCACCCCCCAAGCTTGAGCCTGGCTTTCAAACCATTCTATATTAAGCAACTACATGCTTCACTTTCAAAGCGGAGGTTAGAGATATCCCTGCCACTTACATCATTGTTTCTATGGCAACTAAACGTACTTCAGAAAGACAGACTGTATGGTTTTGGTCCTGTTAAAATAAACAGAAAGCCCCAAAAGGGAGGCATGGAAGCTGGGAAGACTTTGCTGTTAGTTCAGGGATATGCATCACTCCTGAGCAGCAGAAAGAATTCCTGGTGGATGCCAAATGCTTTTTCTAATTTTATACAGCATCCATCACCATTCCTTGTTTCTGCTGCCTATTTTGTTAATTAAAAGAAAAAGATGGCTCCCCCCCCTTCCTGAAAGACATGTTACTATGGAAACAATGGATTTGCTTGATATAGATATCCCTTGGGTTCACCCCGAGTAAGAAATGAAGCTAAATAAAAGGGCAAGGCAAGCAACAGGGAGTCAATATAGAAGCTGGTGGAGAACCCAGCGTTAAAAAACACCGAAACATAATGCACTTTTAAGGAAGCTCAGCATATCTGTGGCATGTGTACAACTGGGGGTAGGAAGTCTTTCCACAAAGAATCATAGAATTGTAGAGTTGGAAGGGATCCCCAAGGATCATCTAGTCCAACCCCTGCACTGCAGGAATCCTGCCCACCACGGTTCCTGGGTGGGCTTGAACCACCAGCCTTCTGGTTAACAGCCACATGCACTGACCCATTGTGCCACAAGAGGGTAATAGCAATACAGTAGGCACAGGTTAGAGTTTTAAAAGTGGGTTTAAAACTGGAAACCTAGAATCTGTATCCTCTATTAAACTTTAGCCTAGGGATCAAGAAATCTGGCTGCCAACCCCAAACCTCCTCCCTCCCTGCTTTTTAAAGGCTTTTCACATGAAGGAAACAATTGTGTCAGTGTTGTGCACAATCACTGAATAGCAATAAGGGAAGTTTCCCTCATACTCACAGAGACCAACTTACATTGGCTTATTTAGCCATTTTATTCCAGTCCTTCTCCTCCATCACAATATGCAGATCTTCCTCCCAGGCGCTTTTCGATCCTAATAGTGGACCAGTCTGTATCTCCAGTAATATTTTTTAGAACACAGAGACAACTCCCATATCCTCACTACCCCTACCATAACCACAATTTGCCCAAAAATTGTCAATGGACTGCATGGGATTTGGCATTTTGGTCAATAAGGAACATAAGGTTACAGAACTCTGGACAACCTAATCATTATACAAGATGCAGATTTCCTCTTTTTCATATCTCCAGGTACAAATTCATTTGATATGAACATCCCCTTTATTTTTTATTCGTGTACTTGTTTTATCTATCTTCTTCTGTTCGAATGAAATAAAATTGTTTAAGAAGGGAACTAGGTAGTCTGAGAGTTTCCTGAAAATGATTCAGTTTAAAGGCCCAAAGTACAGCATAATTCATGTATGGTATGTGTTGTGGAGCCTGTTCCTCCTAATGTGTTTAAGAAGAGTTGTAACTACATTAATGCACCCCCTTCCTCTCAAGCTCTCACCTCCTGGAATTGACAAGATAAAAGTCTTGTGATGGCTTTTCTATACCAAAAGGAAACATGGGAATAGAAACTAATTTTCCTCTAAAGATAAAGTTGAATAAGACAACTTTTGAGTACTTGTAACATGTCATAAAAAAAATCCTGACTAGTGTCAATTGTTATATTTTGATGGCAGATGCCAGCACATTTTATGTTATCGGCCCCCAAACTGAACAGAGTAGGTTATACATTGAAAAATAAACTGATATGACATTTTAAAAGCCAGCACAGTGTGTAGTTGGTTAAGCATTTAATCCTATGGTCCTTGGGAGGGTAGCTCAGGGTCCAGAGGCTCTGATTTCAGAGGGAGATCTGATGTTGGAGCCTGCCACTCTGCCACCTCCTCCGTTGTCACTGCCCAGCAGTGACACTGCCCAGTTCTGTTGGCAGAGCCCAAAAAGGGTCATGTTGCAATGTGGTTTCGATGCAAACCAAGGACAGTCCCCAGGAACAACCTTAAACCGTGGGGGGTGGGGATTAGACATGTTTCTGAAACAGGATGAATTTTAAAGAAATGAATGAATGAAGTTAAGGGAGGAGTGCAAGTGTGTTCCTTTGCCTTCACTTCCATCCTGCTGGCTCCAGCTTTTTCCTTACACACACCTAAGGACTGCAGACTAAGTGAATTAAGCCCTCATTATGTCTTCTACTCATCTTTTCTCATAAACACACAGAAGTCAATACACCCTAGTATGAACAATGTGCAGCCCTGTTCACCACATCTTATTTTAATCATTTGTTTTAGGCTGGCTTTCATGTGGGGTCCAGATCTTCCATGTGTGTGATTAGCCATCACAGCAAAACACACAAAAAATGTTAATTACTGAATACTGCTATTCTGTTTCAAAACTGAATAGCTTCTAAACATAAACTTTCACTCACTTTTGAATGGAGTAGATCTCATATTCTGCAGCAAACAAGCTTTCTGCCTGCCTTCTGAGCGGTTAACCTAGAAGCATATCAGCATTGTAAGAGAGATGCAAGAAGAAATCCACTGGTGAAGCCCAAGTTTTCCATAAGAGTTTATGAGAACAAAAAAGCACCTCCTTGTCCCAATTATAGAGAAAAAGAAAATTATAACAAGCCAAAGGTGAGGTATGTAATTGAACACAGAAAGATATGCTTTAATTTTAAATTCTCAATGTTATTGCACCTAAAGTCAAAGGTTTAACACATAAAACCAAAACAAAAGCATTTAATGTGCTGCTGTGAAAGTTTTAAAATGAAAAGTACTCGATGTTTCTCCCCCTATAAAGGTATTTCTCGATTTTATGTCTACATTTTAGCATTTTAATGTCCCATTGATTTTGATCTATGCAGCATGCAAAAGCAAAGTAGTATATCTTACAAATTCTCTTGCATCAAACTTTAAAATGCTTTACATACTAAAATGAGGGCAAATGAAGACAAGTACTATTTTGACGTGTGCTATCTCAAAGTTTTATATCTCTGCCAAAACAGTATGCATTCTTTCTGTACAAAGCTGCAGCTGAATCATGCACTTAAATGCTTTACTTTCGACAGCAATTCCCATAGGTATGATTGCATATAGTCATCGGCAATTTCAGTTTTAGGAACATCAATCCTGTATTACTCCCCTGAGGTCTGGATGATTGCTGCATAGTTTCATGACGTAGTAGAAAAACAAGGGAAGTCTGCACAGTCAAAGGTTACCTCTAAATATAAGGAACAGCCAACACTGAGGTCAAAAAAGTTTCCCCAAAATTCCAGAGAAGTACTCAGGGTCAAGTCTGCTCCCATGAAAACAAAAGCATGGCACCTTAAAAAGTAAGCTTGCGGTAGCACAAGTGGAAGGCAGCTTGTACAACCCCTTTTCTCTTTTGCTCCTCTCTGCACCCCTGAAAAATGTTTTTTAGGGACTGGGAGGCCTCCTGAACAATAGGGCCTGCATCATATTGGGCTGCTATGGGAGAGGGGAATCTCCCAAACGTGGGCAGAGAGATCTTGTGTCAGTTAGCTGTACACATACAAGAAACACATCACTAGCTTCATTTAGTGCACCTTCCTCTTTCACAAACAACTGAGCGACCCTGATGGTCAGCAGAAGTTACTGGATGTTCATACTGTCCTTCACAACATAGTATTTATAAATAAAAATAGCAGAGCAGAAGCGATACTCAACATACTTCCTGAAATCCTAAAAAATGGGATGAAGTAAGTCCTAGTGAACATCAAATTACCAAGTAGACTTGTTTACCTTTAAGGGTAGATCCTCCCAAGGCAAATATGTGCATAACAATTACACTATTGATATTGTTAATATAGATTTTGGGCTTCTAGGAAATTATGGCATCAGAGAACAGCAATGATGAGAAAGCCAGGCTGCAAGGGTTGGTCATTCCCTCCACCCAATCTAAAGCCCCTCCCAAGGCAAAAACTGGGTTGAAATGCTTAAGGCTGTTCCTTAATGATAATTCTCTGAAGACAAGCCAAGTTTTGTAGTCAACTTGAGATGTTCATGATAATCTTACAGTGCAATTCTACAGACATGTCTACCTAGAAGTCAGTCTCATTAAGCTCAATGGGACTTACTTCGATGAAGGCTGGCATGACTGCAGTCTTAGCTGCAAAGACTCTTCCAAATGTTGGCAGGGCACAGGGCAACAACTTTTCATTTTAAAAATTAGTTTGCCTACTGTCTGAACAGGCTGCATGTGAATCACAAAGTAAGCACTCAGTTTACAGTGCAAAAATGGTAATATGAAGCCAGATAAAAGTATGCCAAGAGAGTTTAAACCTGTAATCAGCCATTACATTTAAGACAAGAGTCAAATAGGAATATGAGTTTGATTTTCTGCTCTTGACTAGTCATACAGTGGTAAATATATCTTTTCCAACCACAATTGCAGACTGGGTAAAATGACAGATGTTCTTATGACTCTTAGGACTGCACTGGACCTGTGCTAAAAAGAGAGCTTGAGGACCAAGCTGGAAGTCAGAAACAGAGGACTGGTATTAGTCAAGCATGTTTATGCAACTTCACAAATTGTTTATTCAGTCGGAACAAATTATCAGTATGCCATTAAATTATGTAAATATGCAACTCAGTTGTAACAAAAATCTAAGATTGCATCCTACACCTACAAAGTAACATTTATAGGAAAAAGTCAGTAGCAAAAGAGCATATACAATAAAAACTGCATGTGAAACATTTATGTTTTTTCTAGCCAAAGGAAACAAAACCAAGACATTGTCATGGAAGTCTTCATTGCAAAAAAAAACCTGAAATGCATAATAAAATTTATCAGAACAAAGCAATTCTTATACAAAATACATTTCCTATTTAGTTTCCCTTTATAAAAAAGGCACTTTGTTTATAGCTAAAATTGATTAATACTCTTGTTAAGCCTCTCTTTATAACCAATGTATTTCAAGTTTTCCATAAAAACCCTTTGATACAAACATTATTAGTGCATATTTTTGTATTAATCAGTTAACTATTGCCTTTTCTATTTTAAAATAAGGTTCTTTAGTGCTGGAAAAAACACTGAGTTTACACATACTACTTAAGTGTCAGACATATGACATCAGTGTGCCATAGCAGAATAAAAAAAAATTCAACTCATTTTCCTTGCATGAACACGGACTTTTTAGAAGTGGGCTTGCAATCTTTTATTTTCCTCACGTAATCTCTCAATTTCAGCTACTAAGCCGTCGTTTACAGAATATCTTTCAAGTAAGGCATGCATTTCATTCTAGAGGGGGAAAGAACAGAACACTGCATTACTAGAGAAACAGATTTCCAAACCCGACTATGCATTTTTATATAGAATACTAATGTTGGAATCAAGGTGGTCAGAAGATATTGGCCCCAGTTCACATGCCATAGCAAGCCACAGGCTGAAATAAACTCTGGTTTACTGTGATTGAGCAGTATGCTCATATACGCTACTCAAATGCACCCACCTTGTTCCTCCCCCCCCCCTTTGCAAAACCACACAGAGTGGCTGGCTTAGCATTACATGTGAACAAGTGCTCATGGGTTCTCTCTCTCCAAACTACAAGAAGGAACATTCTCTGGTTTGTGTCTCACATTGGCAAAGGGTGGGTGCAACTGAGCAGTGTACATGGTAAACAATCATTTTTCAGACTATGCCTTATTGTGACATCCAAACTGGGCCACTGTAATTTTTCCACAGAAAGATATCCACCCATCCATCCCCTTTGAAAATTTGAAGTCAATCACCGAGAATGCAGGAAGTCTGTCTCAAGCACTACTTTCTCAGCAAAGCAATCTAGTTTCCCTTCCACCCCAAGTATGTGATATTACACTCATCAGACAGTACTATTCTGTGCCCAGCTTTTAAGAAAGAACAGATTGCGAGTTAGTTTGCAGTGTCACTTAGCAAAAATTATAGTATTCCAAACCTAGCAAACCAAGGTTCTCAATAATCTCATTGCTCTTTCTAGGATCTTAAAATGAACAAGCAATCCAGAGTAGGGTTTTCAGCTGAAATGCTTTTAAAACACCTGCACATTTCTGTATATATTTTATACATACCAGTTGCACATGAAATTGTTTGATCATCTCCACTTGCAAATTCACAATGTCACGATGGCAGGCTTCCCTGAAGGAACAAATACCATGCACCTTCAATTCCTGTTCGCAAGTTTACCCATTTCTCTTTGGTTATTAAATTAAAGGTGATTTTCAGGACAAGACTAAACATCTAAATTCAACGATAATGCATATCTTTATTGGAGCCCACAAGAACTAAGATGACATTAGGGAAAGCATAGCACCTTCACAGCAATTAATTTCCAGTACAGTGGTACCACGGGTTAAGAACTTAATTCGTTCTGGAGGTCCATTCTTAACCTGAAACTGTTCTTAACCTGAGGTACCACTTTAGCTAATGGGGCTTCCTGCTGCCACTGCGCCTCCACTGCGCCATTTCTGTTCTCATGCTGAAGTAAAGTTCTTAACCCGAGGTACTACTTCCAGGTTAGCGGAGTCTGTAACCTGAAGTGTCTGTAACCCGAGGTACCACTGTTCTGGGTTCTTAATGAGTCATAGGATCACAGAATTATAGAGTTCAAAGTGACCCCAAGGGTCATCTAGTCATCTAAGGTTAAGGACACAATTGAAATATCTGATATTTTATTATTTTTGATGCACCAGCTATGGTCTGGTGCAGCAGAGAGGCCCATATTGGACTCAGTGCCACAGCTTGCCAGTAGCTAGACTGGCTTGATAGCCAGTAGATTCTTGAGTAGCTCAGCTCCACCCCAATCCTGCCTCGAAACACCCCATTTCAGAGATTTGCACCAGCTGCCACTAGTAACTTCCATCCACCCACAATTTACAAGGGAGCACACAGAACTTCCATGGTTGGGCAGAGGGGCACCATCAACTTAAATGCCTTCCAGCATAACAGATCAGGGTTTTGGATTACCACTCAGTAATGCCATAGACTCTGTTTGCTATAGAATACGGTAAATGGAATAGAGACAAACTTTGGAATTGAAGGACAAAGTACTAGAACCCCCGCCTCTCTCTGCTTTTTTTTACAAGTCACTCCTTCTAGCCAAGAGGCAATGGCCAGTTTCACAACACCAGGTGCAAGCAGAATGCTCTGCTATAAGCAAAAGCTAAACAAGGCTAGTAATAAGAACAGAAAAGGAGAAATCTGATGACAACCCAAGTAGTATTAGTCAACTAATACTGAAAATGTACTATTTCAGATTCCAGGAAATGAAACACACTTAGTGTTTCTTGCCATAAAATTTCTTTTATTATAGATTGGGAAAATGTAATTGCTCCAGGTGCACATTGGAACAGATTCCAACAAACCTTCTTCATTTACAATAAAAGCTTCATGATATGTGCCTACAGATGCACCTGTAAACTGTTGCTCTGGGGCAGATTGTATTTACTCGAGATGTAGAGAATCTAAGCCATGTCTGGCTGTTTAAAATGTGCAAGAGCAGCACACTCCAGGGGCTTTGTGAATTAACTTACCAACTTCTTGAATTAATTCATACAGAAGTTTGATTATGTCCTGATTGAGTTGTACTACAACAGCACACTGAAATGTGGTGGGGGTTTTTGCTCATAAACAAGTAACAAGGCTAAGAAAAGATACAGTGATGTCATAGAACGTCACAATGACAAGAGAAGCACTTAAGACACAAATCCAGAGCTAACCCCACTGCTTTCTTAAAACCACTCAAAGACAATTAGCTTTCCTGGGGCAGAAAGAATGCTGAAGTGTATATTTGGTAGGTATATTAAACTGATCTATTTCTGATTTGATGCTGAAATGCCAGCCAATTTTATAGCACCCTGCTAACCTTTTCTTTTTTAAGTCTGAGTTGCAGAGGCCCACGACACCCAACAGACTATGAAGAATGAAGCCAGTAATTTGGAGCATTCATATTCACCACAGGGTTGTTGTCAAAACAGCATACTTGAGGCAGGCTTGAAATGCAGCCCAGAGTTAATACTGCAGGTCAGAGGAAGGGAGAGGCTGGTTCAGAGTCTGCCAAAATTCTCCCATACCTCTCAGGTTGCAGCAAAGGTCGCCTTATCCTCTCAAACCTCATCCCTGGCCAAATCTAGTACTTGACTGCATGAAGCTCATGCTCTATTGACTTGCATGGGAACTGAAAAGTTTTAATTTCCTTCATTTATAATTACTGAAACCCCCTTGGAAGCAGGAGAAAAGGGGGGGGCTTTGTTTAACCCCTGCAGGAGAGGTTGTGAAGAAAGATAAGTTGCCACCGTCTCTAACCTGGGAACGGGGTGTCAGAGACAGAAATAGTCGGAGAGGTTCATTGACTGTGAATGGAATATTTTGACAGATAACTAAAGAAGAGAAATAAACTGATTCCTATGTTGCCTTTTGCATTCTAATGAAACAAAATATCTGAAAAATGAAAGTAATTTTCCTTTGCTGGACTTGCCTTAAAGAAATGGATACAAATAGAAATTGTCTCCTCTAGAGGGAGCCTGTTAAATTGTTGCTACAGTCTATTTGAGGACTCAACAGATGTCAGATTAAGATCGTGGGACCAGACTTGTTTGACCTTGACTAAGTATGAGCTGGAAGGAAGTTTGGGTGCTTGCTTTGTGCAAGACAAATGCCTTGCTGGAACAGATGCATGAAAAGATGGATTTCATGAATGAGAAAATGGACTTGATGACCGTTGTGGTTAATAACTGTGGACAAGCAGGGAATATTGAGACGGAAACTATTCAAGGACCAACCTATGAACCTATATTGACTGGGCAAGTGCAGAAGATAATGGAGGAGGATGCGGCCGCATCTCAAACAATACAAACGGAGAGACCCGAGGCCCTACAGGAGTATAAGTCGCTGTCATTGAAGACTGAAGTTGGAGTGGGCCAGGGGGAGTCTGGAGCTGAAGAGGTTCTTAACTTTGGAGAGACTTTGAAATATGCTTTTAAATATCTTTTGGAGTACACCGATGACTGTGGGGAGTGGAACTGTGGGGAATGGGCGGCTTTGATGAAGGGAGATGGAGATAATTTTGGATTGGAATCCCCCAGACATCTGCTCCCCAATGAGAAAGGGAAGAAATTAAGAAAGAGACCAACAAAAGACAAGGAAAAGGGCAGTATAAACAAAAAGAAGAAGATTTGCAGAAGGGGCATGGAAGAGACTTAAGAGCCTCGGACATAAGACTTCCAGGTTGATGGACTAGATGGAATGGACAGTAAGGACTGACACGACCTGGGACCAGGAAGAAGAGACGCTGGATGAAGATTGGAAGAAAATTTATAAAGAAAACTTTTTATTGGGGGAATTAGCCTAAAATGAATGAATATTAGGGAAAATGTTGGAAGGAAACTATATGACTCTAGCAGAATATAATATCAGGAGTTATGGATAACTGAGCATTAAGTTTTAAGCCTTAAGGCATTTTATGGTAAGACAAAGTTAAATAAACTAAGGTAACTTGAATAACAGAATATGGGGAAAGTTGGAAAGGATCTGTTGAGTCAATTGATAGGTTAAATTGATAAGATAAATTATTTAACAAAAATTGAGAAAGATGGAAAGAATTTGCTGAAATAATTAACTAAACTTGAATACAAAAAGGGAGGTGTGAGGAGGTCAACGAAACAAGCAAATGGAAGTTGGAGATATGTAATCCGGGATTTGTGTTTTTTGTTTTATTTTCTTTTTTGTCGCATTGTTGTATTGGTTTTTATGTTTTTGCGTTTTTCTCTCTTTTTTTCTTTTTCTTTTCATGTACTGTAGTTGTTCTTTATGGTGTTTTTTTTTTGTAATCCTGAAATTATTAATAAATATTATTTTAAAAAAAAAGACTTGCATGGGAACTGGACACACTTTTAAATATTCATAAATAAAGACGATGTTCCTTAAGACAGACCCAAGCTAGAGCTGAGATTAGTGCCTTTGATGTATCTTCTGTTTCTTCACACACACACCCTCAGCCACAAGTAACCCACACACTCCAGAGATACACTGCAACATCTTGTTGTCGGACTCCGCTAAAGTTATTATTTTGCTCAGGCTTTATAAACTGATAACTATAGTCAAAGTGTTGATACAACTCAACTTACCTGAAGTTATCCAGAGTTTCTTGTATCATATTCTGAATGAAATGAATTTGAACGGATGATAAAGGTGCATTCAATCTGCTGCTCCCAAGAGTGTCTGCTATTTTTTCCGATAGTGAATTGGCAACTCCAGCAGTAACCGAAGAAGTTATCTTTGAAGCTATGCAAAGTAAAGTATGAGCATTTCATTTTAACTTGGGGCAAGAAAAGGGGACCCAAAAAGATACAGACAACTACTATATAAACAGGCAAGACGGGCGCACCACAGCACACAAGTTAAATTATTTCTAATCACCACCTATATTTATGAAATGAAAACGTAAATTCTTGACTGTTCATAAGTGCTGGGATTTAAGAATTTAAAAGCAGGCGCACGACTGGAAATGTGATTGAAGTGCTGGAGTGATTGAAGACCATTCCCGGGAAAATTACGCAAACTAATTGGCAGAGTACACCATGCGCACAAAGACAGAAACATTAGATTATGCTACATTTTTATTCAGTAGTACATCATAAATTTTATATATTAAAAAAATATTTAGAGACTGTTGCACTCCCATTACATTCACCCAGGATGCCATTAGCCAGTTGATTATGTTCCATAACAGAAAGGTGAGATTTAGACCTACTTGCTGAGGTAGGACCGTTCACTGGCGATTCATAGGTCAGTTGTGCCTGAAGGTTCTTAATAAGCCTCTCTCGGGGATCAGGACTCCTGATTATGTTGGCCAACGGGGAGGTATTCATATTTGTAAACTCAGAGCTGGAGGAACTCAACTTTGTACAGAAGGGGGAAAATAAATGTGAAAGCCAACACAGCCCCACAAATATAAACATTTCTTGCCTGATAAGTAGTACACTCAGTCATGTGCTGGGCCCTTTCGGACAATCAAAATCAGCACTATCTAGCAACAACAAAAGATGGGAGAAAGCTTATTATCTCAATCCACCCCAAGCTGCAGCTTCTAGGAGTCACAGGTGAGAGCAGAGTGCAGAGTGGAGACCAAAGGTAGATAAACTACCCCAGAAGAAGCATGACGTGCCCCCTGCCGGAAGCACTATCCCTCTCCTAACACCCCAAAACTGAAAGGGGTGGGGGGGATTTGCATGCATTACGGTGCTCCTAATCTCATGACTATGGTTAGGAAGCAAACAGCCCATGCCTAGAAGGCACCACTATCCAACATGTGCATGTTTCTACACAGCAAAAAGCAGAAACAGCAAACAAAAATGCAAGGCGGACAGCTCAAGTCACAGGCAATTAGAATTACAGCATTACCTGCTTGAAATGTTCTCTGGACTCTTGTCTTCCATGATTAGTTTTCTGAGCATCAACATCTGGATTCTCATCATCCTCTTTGATAGGAGAGCCAACAAATATATTAAGTGGACTAGAATGCATTACTTGTGGGCCAGATCCTATTGGATTTTTTCTTACAGGCAATGCAGTGCTGAACTGGGAGAGAAAATCCAGACTGGAAAGGTAAGGTTGAAAATCCATACCTAGAATGAAAAGCAAAATCACACACTTGTCTATTTTTTATTATTTTATTTTATTCATTTCATTTCCATACCACTTTATATTTTAAAGGATTATAGATTTGTACTGTTTGAACCAAGAATGTTTCCTGAACACAGGTTTAGCATGCACAGTGTAGCAAATATTACACCCCACGCCCCAGTTTGTTTTTACTTACCTTCATTTATTGGTACTTATTCAGATTTCCTGTAGCATTAAACCAATTTAGTGTCAGGCTGGGCCCTCAAGAGATACTAAAAATGTACTAGAGTAAGTGCTTACCATCACTCTTTCCGGGAACATCTTCACTTGTTTTACAAACTGCAACATCTATAGGACAAAGCAATAAATACTGACTGTAAAAAGGGAGGGAAATCCTATACAGGTAGAATCTGAGTAACAGCTCTACCTGATCTTTTGTTCAAACAGTAAACAATTACTGCTTAAGTTTTTAATACAGTAGGCATGGTTTGGGGATTATGACTGACCACTATCTAAAGAGGCACCTTATTAATTTGGCTATAATATTTTATTTTATTTTATTTTATTTTATTTTAATAGCATATGCTCTATATAGGATGGGCATGACTGCAAGCATTAAGGGTCTTAACTGCGGGATGTAATAGGATGGAGTCCTTTCCAGCACATGTGTCAATACAATCTTTTTCCAATGTCAACTTACCATCTCGAAGTGGAGAGAACAAGTCACCTAAACTATTTCTCCCCAAATCATCAGCTGGATTAGAAGTATTCCCATGATCAATTTCTTTGGAAGGAATTACATCCAAACTGCAGCTGCGTGGGAATCCTAGAAGAGGAACACATCCATTTTCCTGAATAAGAGAGTCATTTTAAATGACAAATTAAGCTTTCTTCACAAAATCTATTAGACACCAGCACTTTCTAGTTCCATAAGCAACATAAATGTTTATGCATAGAAGAGTCCTACAGGAAGAACAAGGCAAGTTCAATATAGTTCAGCAGGGGTATTTAAGCACCCTAAAAGAAGCTTTAAAAAGGTAGAAGGCTGCCAATAAATAAAGTGGAAACAAGTCCCATAGGAACCAATAGAATTTGGTTCTGAGGGAAGATGTCAAGGATTTGGAAGGAAGTAAAAGCTACTGCCATTATCAATAAGCCTCTGACAACAGGTCTAGCAAACACACTAAGGTACAACAAAACCTGTTGTCTTATCACATTAACTGTGTGGACAATAAAATTACTCAGCAGCACCCTATCCTCCAAAACTGCGATAAGAGGATTCCGCCTTAAGCTTTAATGCTAGCATTACCTAGCAATAAAGATAGCTTTACTTCAATTTGGCACCCAAAGTGCTTGACAGAACTCCCACTCACATTTCCACAAGGAGGTGAACAGGTATGAACTCCATTCATCAAGACAGATTAAGCTGTCAGCTTGAGCTTAGTGAGAAAGCATCACACTTAATTGAATGTTTTATATGTACCGAAAAGGATCACAACATACAGATATTTTTTAATGTTTTTATAAAATAGTTAAGATCTAGAATCACGTTCTTCATCTTTATTTCAGTCACTTGTGCAGTGGTCTGGGAAAAAATTTAGTCAACTGCTAGCAACGATGAATGAACACTTGGCTTGAGCTTTCCAAGTCTGTATTCTGGGTGCCCTTTGGGATGAACTCTGCCAAGAAAAGGCTAGGAAGAGTATAACCCTGGTCCTCTTGGCCCCCTCAGTGGCTTTCAGTGTTATCAACAATGGCGTCCTTCTGAATAAGCTGTCTGGTTCAGTGTTGGAGATACTGTCTCACAGTGGTTCTACTGATACCTGGATAGCTGATTCCAAAAAGTGGTGCTAGAGGGGGCAGGATATTGCTGTACCCATTGCCAATTATGCTATGGGCTTCACGGGGATATTTTTATCCCCATGCTATTTAACATCTACAGTAAATGACTCAAATAAATAATCCAGAGGTGAGGACTGAGGCATCACCAACAGGGGTACAACATGCAGTTTTCTCTTTCCTTTTCAACTAATCCAGGTGAGGCAGTGGGTGTGCTGAGCCAATACCTGGGTATGGGAATGGAGCCAGATTGCTTAGATGATCTTCTCCAACCATATATGCCTGCCTGGACCCTAAGAGACCCTTCTCTGAATGCACCCCACCAAATGAGAGGAAGTGGGTGGCTACTGTAAGTATCTTAAATAAAGGAGAGTAATAGTATGACTGGCGCCCCAGTTGTGGAATATCCTCTACATAGGTGGTGGTAATAAATATTAATAATAATAATAATAATAATAATAATAATAATAATAATAATAATATTTATACCCCGCCCATCTGGCTGAGTTTCCCCAGCCACTCTAGGCAGCTACCAACAGAACATTAAACACAGAATAAAACTTCAAACATTAACAACTTCCATAAAGAGGGCTGCCTTCAGATGTCTTCTAAAAGTCAGATAGTTGTTTATTTCCTTGACATCTGGTGGGAAGGCACTCCACAGGGCGGGTGCCACCACCAACAAGGCACTCTGCCTAGTTCCCTGTAACTTCACTTCTCGCACTGAGGGAACCGCCAGAAGGCCCTCGGGGCTGGACCTCAGGTCACAGTGTTGAGCTTCTTTCTGGCACCAGGTGAAGACCTTATTTTCTCAGTACTTTGGTCTGCAACATTTTGGGCCTGGGGGCACTTTTTAGAGATCTAGAACACTATTGTGGATACTTCAAAATGCCTTTTTCACAGAAGAAAAATTGGCAGTGTTTAAAATCTCCCCACTCCAACCCCAAAACAAACAAAACAAACCAAAAGAGCAGGTGCCATAATCCAAACAACCCTCCCCCCCCAAAAAAAATCAAACATTTGGAGGAGCAGGAGGCCTTTGCAGGCACCAAACAGGGTGGCTGAATGTACCAACATATACCACACTGGGGAGCTCAGCTTTAGACTTTTGCTGCTCCTGTTTTCTCTGTTGCTGGATTTATTCCAATATTATTATAACTTGGTTTTAATTTTCTCTACATTGCATTTTTATATTTTAAGAATTTGTTTTTTAAAAAATGTGTACCACCCAATAAATACTATAAGTCAAGAAATAAAATAAAGGATCAATTAAGCAATTATTAAAATGGCAACAATTGGTATTTTCGTATTTCGCTCCTTCATGGTTCTCACAAGTGCTGGCATTTTTTTTACCGGATTTATCCTGAATGGCATCAGCTCCTTTAACTTCAGCTGTTGGCAAGGATGGGGACAGGAATGTGGCAGGCATGTTAGGAGTAACGTTTTTGATCATGCCAGCATTCTGAATCCCTCCAGTATTGCTTGTTGTTTTGACATCAGATCTTTTGCAGGCCTGCTTAGTTAAGGATGACTTAAGGCTAGACTGAAACAGAAATAAGTTAGTCAGAAGTGCTTTACTCTGAAGGGGAAAAGGACAGTCAAGTACTAAGTTACAACTTTCTTCTAATGCTGCTTCCCAAAAATAGCAGACACCATTTATAATACAGTCATACCTCTACTTACGTATTCCTCTGGATACGTAAACTTTGGGTTGCGAACGCTGCAAAGCCAGAAGTGTATATGTCCGGGTTTCACCATGAGCGCATGCGCATAAGCAGCACCTCTGGATACAGACTTTTCAGGTTGCGGACGGACCCCCGGAACAAATTAAGTTCATAGCTGGAGGGTCCACCGTATTGGGAGCGGGGGGGAATAGAGCACTCAAATAGATGTGTATTAAGTACACAGAGCCATCAAGCTTTGAGAAAAGGGTCAGTTGTATACAATTCTAACTACTATTACAATGGAAAAGTGATACAGGGCTTAGCACAAACATGCCATCTTGTGTGCTTTGGCATATATTGATCATAATTAAAGGTAAAGGTAAAGGTACCCCTGCCCGTACGGGCCAGTCTTGACAGACTCTAGGGTTGTGCGCCCATCTCACTCAAGAGGCCAGGGGCCAGCGCTGTCCGCAGACACTTCCGGTTCACGTGACCAGCGTGACAAGCTGCATCTGGCGAGCCAGAGCCGCACACGGACCGCCGTTTACCTTCCCGCTAGTAAGCGGTCCCTATTTATCTACTTGCACCCGGGAGTGCTTTCGAACTGCTAGGTTGGCAGGCGCTGGGACCGAACAACAGGAGCGCACCCCGCCGCGGGGATTCGAACCGCCGACCTTTCGATCGGCAAGCCCTAGGCGCTGAGGCTTTTACCCACAGCGCCACCCGCGTCCCTATTGATCATAATTAGCCACATTTTATTTCCGTTTTAACCTACACTTATACACTAAAAGCACAAGACATTTACCCTTGAAAAGTTGTTAGAGCACTGTAGTGTTATGCATTTCACAGAGGTTTTGTGAGCACTGACTGATTTCACAGGTGCGGACAGTTTTCTTAGGTCATAATGATATATCTTTCCACGAGAAGATCCAACCACCAAGGAAGTTCCTTCAGGCATGAATTCTACTGCAGTTAGAGGAGATTCTGCTACTAAAGTCTTCAGCTGCCTTTTTTGTGACGAAGAAACATGTTGAACACCCAAGAAGGGGGGGAAAGAAAGCACAGCCACAATTTTATTTACAGTTTCCAAAACAATAGTTCCTTTTCATTAACTCTTCACTTAGCTGTTGGCCAGGTTAGACTAAAAGGTAGTGTCTGGCCCAATATTACTCAGTGGGCTTCACTGCCAAGCTAAGACTTAAATCCAAAGCCAACACTATTATACCACACTGTAATTTTAGTTCTGCTTATCTCCCAATGTTATGTTTAAGTTAATACAATACATAAAACTACATTCTTCAAGCAGATACACACATTCCCAGCTGCTAATGGATATCCCCTTTCCTCAAAAATGACAAGAATTCAAGTGTGTAGGTAGGAAGGAAACTGCCAGTGTCAAACAGCTCCCTGTGGGCTGTCCCCCTTTCAAGTGTCCTCTTGTTCTTTGGAGGACTCAGGGCTCCCTCTGCTTGGGATGCCCAACTCTGGCAGGCCAAGGAAGGCAGAAGGAATACCCACAATGACTACATCCAGCCCAATGAAGAATTCTCGAGATATTGAGAGCTTGCTCCCTATTTTGCAAACTTTGGTTGGTCCTACTAAAGGTATTGCTCAACAGTGGGTTTTGGCATTTCCCCTGTGGCTCATATATTGGCTCTGCAGATGCAATAAAGAGACTTTTGCAAACTAAAACCATTAAAATGTCAAAATGTCTCAATTTTAGACACCTCTCATGAAACGTGTGTGTACCAAATAAGAAAGCTTTCAAGTCAAGCAGCAGGACTCCATCTTCCTACAAGCAATTCAGTAACTAAGACAACCACACACAAATTGCTTTCCACCATTAAGAAACACACTCCAGATATTACTTTCACAAAACCAAACCTTGTGGCACGTTAAAAGTTCCACACCTAACCATTTTTGTGAAGAAATGCTAAATGTTCCAGTTGCCTCAGTCAATTAAAAGGAGACCAAATCAAGCCTCAGTAGACTGGTTTTATTTTTATTTGTTTGTTGATCAGCAGCGCTTCACAAAATACATAATAGTATGCCATAAATTCCTTTTTATACCACTGAAAAACACACAGAATTCTGTCAATAGATAATATTCTAACAAAGGTATACATACTTTTTACTGGTGGTGTCATAGAGAATGATTCTTTTATCCAGACCTATAGTTACAAATAGCAGCTCACTGATGGGAGAAAAGCAGATTTCATAGGCCGGAGCTTTATGAGCACTTTCGAAGTTATGATATGGGGCTTGACTATTGACATCCCACAGAGTTACAGCCCCACTGTCGGAAACGCTACCCAATAATGCTTTCTTAAAGGTAGAATATTTCAAGTGCCGAATGGGCTGAAAAAGAAAGAAAACACATTTGCATATGTTAAAAGTGATGGCATGCTTTGCCAATGCATATATTTAAACTACAGTACGTGTACATTTTTTAAAAAAACCTCTTTGCTAATTAGTTGGCAAGAGACTGCACCACTGGAATCCTAGTACTAGCCTTACCTTCAAATGCAGCAGTATCATCACTTACTTACACAAGTTTTAGGTCTTTGCCATCCTTAATACCCAGTTACCATAGGTGAAATCTGGCAATAAAGCCTAATCTATTGGGGGAGCAGGGAATTGGAGGGGAAAAACAGCACACCAATGCTGCTCCTTTTGTGGTACAGTGGCAGTTTCAGCACATTATAACAAAACAGCGAGTGACTGCTTTGCAGCAGGAGCAGTCATAAAAATATATTTAAAAATGGAGTGAGCACAAAAGTATTCATGAAAAAATCAGCCCCCAATTCTGATTCAACTCTATGAAGTGCTCATGCAGTGCAGCTCCCCACCACAAAAGAGATTGAATTTGACATGGTATCTAGTAGTGAGAAACAGTAAAAGTAACACCTAGAAACCCTTTAAGTGAGCATCAGCACTGATACATCTTTATTACAAGAACAGCCATTTCAGATGTTTAGTCAGCAAGTCTGCCATCTAGGCCTCACTGGAGTGACATGCAATTAAAATTTAACAACTTTTCCAAGCTCGGCATTTTTGCAGTAACAATAGAAACTTGAATCCTGACAAAGTGCCAAGCTTTTTAAGTCTCAACCATTAAGAGTTTTCAAGAGTGGAGCTGTGATTCAACAAGATACTTTAGACCTGAAATTGATGGAATAATGGGCTTTAAATTGAGTGCATTCTTTGTTACTGTTAAGACTTTAAATAACTGTCCTAATTTCAACTCCATGACAATCTACTTTCAAAAACAATCCTTATGGGTTCCTTAATGTATTAGGCTTTTAGCATGCTCTGAATATACATTTTAAAACAATGCAACACGAAAAAGGCACAGGCATATAGGCAATAATAAGAAAACTTTTATTTGCCTTTCCTCACTCCTCTCCCACAAGCCCCTTTGACGTGGTCTTTGCAGCTAGGAAAATATGTATCTTTGAAGAATCTGCTGCAGCTTCTCTCCATCCCCATGAAAGACTAACAAAGAAACATGTACCAACCAAGCCAGGTGATGACTATCAGGTATTTAAACTTCCAAAATAGATGTGAGAAAAAGAAAATGCCTGTTTAAGAAGTCTGTTTAAACAATATTTAGAACATGCCCTCTCTCTTGGATTAGGGGCAAGAGGAAAGCACCCAGGTTGCAGGAAAAAATTAAGCCACCCACTTGATGTCTCTTCCCAAACCCACTGCTTCCATTTGCCTCTCTCTTCCTTTTGTCCCGCATGACAGTTAAGTAAAATAACTCACTCAGGAAAAGAAATGTATAAATAGGTGGTAGTCAGAAAGAAATGAGATATTTTAATGCTTCTAACATTATCCCATACAAATAAAGGATTGCATTGTTTTCATTAGTGCTATATGGTTTATGTAATAGGCAATATTTAAACCCTGTTTTGATATTCTACCATAAACCTATCCGACTTCACTGTAAATTACATTGCTCCCTATATTTTACATTAATATTCCTCAAGGTTTAAAGAGCAACCCAATCTTTCCTCAGCAGCATGTAGTGTAAAGCTACAAATGGCAAAGTAAATAGCAGGGAATAACAGTCAATGCAACTCAGCTGTAAGATTTTCAGCATCTTATCACTGCAGCTCAGATCCTCCTCCTCCACCACCACCACCACCCTGCTTTCATTGCTTTGGTCTTTAACCCACAGCACGTTGTCCATCAATAACTGTCAGAGAGAGTTTCCCAAATAAGCCACACATAAAGCACAGCTATGACAACTTTATTAGCTCTGCAACGAGGTGGCTTTTTAAAAAAGAGCAAACTGACTATTAAGAAGAAGTTTGCATCAATATAACTGATGGATGATAACAATGAATCAAAAACAGAGCTTTTGAAAACTTGGCTTTTGCTTCCAATGAATACAGTGCTACCATTTGCAACCCTCAGTATGTGTGACACTTAACTTGTCTAACCTGCTAGAAATTCTAATAAGAAAACCCAAGCACATTCATTAAAAAAAAATTTGTTATAGCTTTTCAACATCAGCACTGAAATGTGGCTATGAACAAGCTGTGCCAGCAATAAAACTATTCAAGGAGACAGCAAGGAGAAATGCAACCAGGCCCATGTTCACATTAATAGTTAGAGTTTTAAAATCTCAGATATTAACACTGCTATAAGCTGTTCTGAACCAATGGGAAAGAACAGGATATAAGTAAATTTATTTACTTATTTATTTTAAAAATCAAGAATAGGAGTACAGTGGTGCCCCGCAAGACGAATGCCTCACAAGACGAAAAACCCGCTAGACGAAAGGGTTTTCCGTTTTTGAGTTGCTTCGCAAGACGAATTTCCCAATGGCTTGCTTCGCAAGACAAAAACGTCTTGCGAGTCTTGCGATTTTTTTCGCTTCCCCCCCTTTTCTAAGCCGCTAAGCCGCTAATAGCCTTTTAGCCGCTAAGCCGCTAAGCCTTTAATAGCCGCTAAGCCACTAAACCGCTAATAGCGCTAATCCGCTAATAGGGTTGCTTCGCAAGACGAAAAAACCGCTAGACGAAGAGACTCACGGAACGGATTAATTTCGTCTTGCGAGGCACCACTGTAAAGGTTTCACCCTTAAAGTCCTATTTCCTTGCAAGGACTTGCAAGTCTATCCCGACTCCGATAACCCATTTTGCCATGACACATAACTTTTATTTGCCTTTCCTCACTCCTCTCCCACAAGCCCCTTTGACGTGGTCTTTGCAGCTAGGAAAATATGTATCTTTGAAGAATCTGCTGCAGCTTCTCTCCATCCCCATGAAAGACTAACAAAGAAACATGTACCAACCAAGCCAGGTGATGACTATCAGGTATTTAAACTTCCAAAATAGATGTGAGAAAAAGAAAATGCCTGTTTAAGAAGTCTGTTTAAACAATATTTAGAACATGCCCTCTCTCTTGGATTAGGGGCAAGAGGAAAGCACCCAGGTTGCAGGAAAAAATTAAGCCACCCACTTGATGTCTCTTCCCAAACCCACTGCTTCCATTTGCCTCTCTCTTCCTTTTGTCCCGCATGACAGTTAAGTAAAATAACTCACTCAGGAAAAGAAATGTATAAATAGGTGGTAGTCAGAAAGAAATGAGATATTTTAATGCTTCTAACATTATCCCATACAAATAAAGGATTGCATTGTTTTCATTAGTGCTATATGGTTTATGTAATAGGCAATATTTAAACCCTGTTTTGATATTCTACCATAAACCTATCCGACTTCACTGTAAATTACATTGCTCCCTATATTTTACATTAATATTCCTCAAGGTTTAAAGAGCAACCCAATCTTTCCTCAGCAGCATGTAGTGTAAAGCTACAAATGGCAAAGTAAATAGCAGGGAATAACAGTCAATGCAACTCAGCTGTAAGATTTTCAGCATCTTATCACTGCAGCTCAGATCCTCCTCCTCCACCACCACCACCACCCTGCTTTCATTGCTTTGGTCTTTAACCCACAGCACGTTGTCCATCAATAACTGTCAGAGAGAGTTTCCCAAATAAGCCACACATAAAGCACAGCTATGACAACTTTATTAGCTCTGCAACGAGGTGGCTTTTTAAAAAAGAGCAAACTGACTATTAAGAAGAAGTTTGCATCAATATAACTGATGGATGATAACAATGAATCAAAAACAGAGCTTTTGAAAACTTGGCTTTTGCTTCCAATGAATACAGTGCTACCATTTGCAACCCTCAGTATGTGTGACACTTAACTTGTCTAACCTGCTAGAAATTCTAATAAGAAAACCCAAGCACATTCATTAAAAAAAAATTTGTTATAGCTTTTCAACATCAGCACTGAAATGTGGCTATGAACAAGCTGTGCCAGCAATAAAACTATTCAAGGAGACAGCAAGGAGAAATGCAACCAGGCCCATGTTCACATTAATAGTTAGAGTTTTAAAATCTCAGATATTAACACTGCTATAAGCTGTTCTGAACCAATGGGAAAGAACAGGATATAAGTAAATTTATTTACTTATTTATTTTAAAAATCAAGAATAGGAGTACAGTGGTGCCCCGCAAGACGAATGCCTCACAAGACGAAAAACCCGCTAGACGAAAGGGTTTTCCGTTTTTGAGTTGCTTCGCAAGACGAATTTCCCAATGGCTTGCTTCGCAAGACAAAAACGTCTTGCGAGTCTTGCGATTTTTTTCGCTTCCCCCCCTTTTCTAAGCCGCTAAGCCGCTAATAGCCTTTTAGCCGCTAAGCCGCTAAGCCTTTAATAGCCGCTAAGCCACTAAACCGCTAATAGCGCTAATCCGCTAATAGGGTTGCTTCGCAAGACGAAAAAACCGCTAGACGAAGAGACTCACGGAACGGATTAATTTCGTCTTGCGAGGCACCACTGTAAAGGTTTCACCCTTAAAGTCCTATTTCCTTGCAAGGACTTGCAAGTCTATCCCGACTCCGATAACCCATTTTGCCATGACACATAAGTTCAATCAGATGTGCAGAAGATGATCAAGAGGTTGTGCCACATAAAAAGACCCAGTTCCACAGCAAGCTACTGTGTAGCATGGACAAAGGTGCTACGTCAGGGATAGAGGAACTGCTTGTACAGTATGCTGCAGAACTGGAAGGTTGGGGGGTGGGGTTGGGCAGCTCAAGTTCAATACACAAGTTTAGCATGGGCTTCCTGAAATGCCAACAGCCAAATGCTATGCATTGTTACTCGGGGGGGGGGGGTTTCACTGTATTCAACGTGACTTACTACCAGGTAAGGGTGCATAGGATTGCAGCCCAAGTATGGAAGTTATTGGGGGTGCAGAACAATTACCTGGTGGAGAGACAATTAATTATAAATCTAATTGCAAATGGTTAGACCCAACCATCACTTGTATGACACACTGCAGCTGAACCATTGGAACCACATTCCACAGACACTTTACCTGACTGCTGCCAAAGCCAAATGGAGTGCTGGATAAATTCGTAGTAAGACTATGCAGGATAATTTCACCACTCATAGACCCTGAAGCAATATAGCAATCATTCCAATTAAATGTTACAGAAGTTATTTCATCTCTGTGATCCTAAAGAAGATAAGAAAATGCAAATATTAGCCAGTTGCAATTGGTTTTCTTGTTTTTACAAAAGGTAGTTATCCTTTTAACCTCTCTTGTTCTGTCAGATTTAAAGTAATAAAAGTATTCAAGCCACACGGCATAATCCAGCTTTGTCTCTCTCACACTTTTAGGGCTTCACAAAGCAGCAGCTGACAATGGACCCAGCTAACTTCCATGTGTTTGGTTATATTCTATTCCAGAAGCCTATCAGTTAAAAAGTTCATATTTAGATTTGTAACTGGCTCAATCTCCAAAGGTTGGTATCAAAAATTAAAAGACCCAGCAGGACTAAGACCCTGACCTGCACATCTAAGGGGGAAAGGCACAACTTTGAACAATGGGAAGATGGGCTAATCCCACAAATGAATCCTCCACATCAAGAATTGAATTGTTTCAATTGATTTTAATCTAGCATTTCTATATTGTTGCCACCTGCCCTGGGACCTTCTGCTGCGGGTCAGGTATGAAATCCAACAGACTGACAACTCTGGCAATGAAAAGCCAGCACATCAGGCAAGCCTAGCCTAATCTAATGTTCCTCCTAACATGCAACTCCTTCACATGGTAGAGTATTCAAACTTGCAATAGCTAAACAGTTTGAGGCCACTATCTGAAGGATCACCTTCTCCCATATGATCAAGCCAAAAATCACCCAGAGATCTAATTTACCATCTGCCTACCCCTGTTCTACAGTGATAGAAGTAGTGTTTTTAATAATAATGTATCCGTAGAAGACATTCATTCATATAGAGTTCATGTATTCAAATGTTTCCCGGATTCAGTATATACAAAATGCTATTCCAATATAGCACAGTTACATCAACTGTTTCTCCAACACATACAATTTTTGTTCAGCTATTTACCTAAGAACTGTCAGTCTTCCAGATAATCCTACATTTGCATACATATAAATGTCAAAGCATTATGTTTTCAGATAAAAGCTAGTTATTTAAGAGGAGCTTTATTGCCATTTGGCAACTATAAAGCTAGAAATCCTAAAATTAGCATTGAAACTAAATTCCATAATTATGGTGGCATAGGTATACAGGGATTATCAACAGATTAAAAGGATTAACTGATTAAAAAAACAGAAAACTGTAGAAAAACACATTCAGGTTTGTTAACCGGTACGAAGCCAGAGTTCCCCATTTCAAACACAACAGAAGACTGGCTTAATACAAGCAAGGAGCTTCGCACTGAAGGCAGCACACAAGACGAGGGGCAAGAGAAGTGGAGGGAGTGGAGTGCTCAGCCCCGACACTCATTGCCAACTTCACATAACATGGTTTCTGAAGACTCAAATAATCATTCAGAGATACAATGTAATAAAATGACAGCTTGAAAAGATTCCTTATATAGCAACACAGTCCACAAAGCCTGCTGCTAGCACAGACACCTATGGTGATAGGAATTAAAAATTTGAGTTGAAATTTGGGCTTTAAAGATCAGAACCCAAAGCTAGAGGGTTTGTTTTGAGGGGGGGTATTTTTTCAGAGTCATATTTAATAGACAAATAGATAAAACAGGAAGTGTTTTGTCTTACCTTAAGAGCTCGGTGAAGTTTTCTGAACTTTAAATCCCATATGTTAACAGTGCTATCCGCACCTCCACTTGCAATATACATTGAATTAGAACTCAAACTTATACAGGTTTGTTTTGCCTGGTTAGGGAGGGAATAAAAAGGGGGAAACATAGTATCATTTAGGGGCCCTTGCAGTAAAGTAGGATTTGTTGTTGTTGTTGTTGTTGTTGTTGTTAAATGTGTATAGTTCTACTCATGGAATCCCTAACCAAACCCAGAGAAAGGTACAGTATTGAGGAAGCGATTTCACCAATTCATCTTTTCCCCTGCAGTCTCCAAAAAATCAGTCCAGAATGTTGTGAGACCCTCTGGAAGAATGTGGAAGTGGGCATGACAATGGGAATCTAGAAAAACCACTTCCCATTTCCTCCAGCAGAAGCCTCTGCCTCCCATTCAAGAAATGGGCACTCTGTATTCAACCTGAGTTGGCAATCAAGGTCCATTAAAACCAATATTCTTATCCGGCTGTTTAATTTGGCAGGGTTCTAAAGTATGTGAGGAGGCTTTGAATGTCGGGCAGGGTCTCCAATTCAGACATTCTGTGATGGGGATGAAACAGAGGCAGCGAGGCCAGTGAGTACAGACCCACTCTTCCCTCTGTGGGATTCATATTATGTTCAGGATTGAGTGCCTCAATGAAGTTTTGTTGTGCAAGTCAATGAAATATAGAGCACTCTATAGCCCTGTCTCTTGTTGCCCCTTATGTGATTAATACTACTGAAGGGTACAGCAGGGCCATGCCTTCTAGACTCCCTTACTGTGACTCCTTCCCATCACCCAGCCTTGCTGACCTCCATGCGCTGGAGGGAAATGCCTGAAGCTGTGAGCCTGCAATACATGAAAAGGTGCCCTGTGCAATTCAGAACCCTGAATATGTGGCAGAGCAAGTGGCTGGGGGTGACCCAACTCTCCCCATGACTGTTGATCATGTGAATATTAATCAAGAGGTAAAAGTGCAAATACTCTTCATCAAATACAGGTAGAGAAAATGAAATTAGGGGAAAGTGGGAAAGAGGAATTCACCATGTTTAGCTTGCATGTAATTTGCAAACAGCATGCTCCAAAAGCTAACATACATAAAAAACAGATTTACAATATTCCTTTTATGATTTTCTTTATCCCCAAGGGTGAGCAAGTATTGGCAAGATGTTGGAACACGGACTTAAGCATCGTGAGAATTAATATGCAGTTACTTGTCTGCTTGCTCATTTAAGAATGTATGCTACTTTGGGGTGGAAGGGCGTGGGGAATTTGGTGTGGCCAGTCAAAGAAGCGGCAGGTTGCTTGCCTGAGGTAGTATATATCGACTCTTAGCCAATACTAAACAGTGTTGAGGCATCACTCACTCACTCCTTCCTCTGCACATTTCAAACTGTCTTCCATGTTTTTCACATTGATACAAAGCTCCTTGGATTGAAAGCCCGTATTTGCATATAGGCACCTTTTAAAAACTTTTGTATAAAACTGAGATCATTGTACATGTGACAAAAAAGATCACAACTAACATAACGATCTGAAGAACACTGGTGAGAGTGTTGATTGCTTATTTAAAGCTTAGAGAGAGCATTTTATCAGTCTAAGGCCCTATGTCACCACAAACCAGAAGGCAGGAATGTTCTGTTGTTAATAATGGGCCGAAAACAGAAATTTATGTTCAGCAATGTATCAAAAGATCTCTCTCAAGACTCGCAGCCATGTTCATTAATGCATGTCTGGGTTTCATTAAAGTAGCTGCAATACAGCTAACAAAAGCCAATCAATACAAATACATTTTATGCACACCATATCACCTTATTCAGACACAACACTAAACAGTGATTTAACTTTATGAGAAACAGGTACAATGAGCCTCTTGTAATCCCTCTCTGGTACAGCTGTGTGGAATTTAGTATCTTTCACTTCCATTTTAGATTGACTGCAACTATCCATGATGTCCAATGCCAGACAAACTGTGGCTAAGCTATAAGGCTGGTTTGTTTCAACTAAGCATAAGTGAGATTAGCCACAATTTGTTTAGGTTCAGCAGACAAGTTAAAAGGAAATTAATATGAAACACAAAAATCCTCCTCTTCGTCATGCTGGAAAAGAGCCAAGGGGGAACTCAAGAGCCAATGTTCACTGCAGCTCCTCCATATAATGCTAAAGCAGGCATAGGCAAAGTCGGCCCTCCAGATGTTTTGGGACTACAATTCCCACCATCCCTGACCACTGGTCCTGTTAGCTAGGGATGATGGGAGTTGTAGTTCCAAAACATCTGGAGGGTTGAGTTTGCCTATGCCTGCGCTAAAGCATGGTTTAGAACAGGAGTGCTGTCTTGTGGTCCTCTGGATTACAACTTCCATCATCTCTCACCATTAGCAATGATGGCTCAGGCTGCTGAGAATTGGGAGTGCAACAACATCTGGAGAGTCACAGATTAGTCACCCCTGCTTTAGAGTTGCATCCAAACAAAGCCAGCCTCTGTGGTACTCACTCAAAGTTGTTAGCAAGCTATATTCTTTTTAGAATGGCAAATGAAATTCTCTCACTTCCAATTTCTTCCCAGTTTCCAGCCCAGCCCCAGTGAATACCTGAAATACCATTTTCCCTTTTTATTAATTTCCAGATTTTGTTCAGACAACATGTAACCCGCTTGCAAGTTAGCAATGTGAACTTACAAAATTGCACTGCAATTTGGTCAATGAACATATACACTCAGCAGCCTACAAGGGGAGTAAAATGACATGTACCAAAGTCAGTTAGACTTTGGAAATCAGGAAGTCAGATGGAACAAAATGCAAGGCACAGTGAACTCAGTAAACAACAGAGTTGAGCATCCTTTTAACCCCATTAGTTTTAACACTGTACTTGTGGGGTTAGCATTCCAAATTGAAGCATACACAGAGGAATGTCAACTTTACTCAATTTTAAATTTGAGTAGCTCATTATAATACTGTATACAAATTACATGCACAAATGCTCTGGCCGAGGACTGTGTCATGTACGTTTGGTACAACTCCTTGGCTCGCACGAGTGTCAATTAAAGCCACAGAGGCAGTAGGCAATATGGCTTGTTTTTCAATTGGAAGCATTCTCCATTAAGACAATGGGACCTTTTGAAGTATTTTTTTTTAGGATCACCCTGTGCTCCAGATACATACTTATGTATAACTACATTTTTAAAAAAATCTGTTATTTTGAAAGAGGGAATAGATGAAGTAACTGTAAGTCCTATCTGTGTCTATTTTGTCAATCCCATTGTGTTCAATGGGGTTTACTCCAAGGTAAAGGTGCACTTATCTGCTGAACACAATGGGACTTGCTTCCAAGTAAACATGCAAAAAGTCACACTCTATGGCTCCGAAGAAACAAGTCTGTTTTACTTACCCCTTCAGCTAGCTCAAAGAGTGGAACTGGTTTACCTTTACCATTTGAAATCACTATTTTATCGCCAGCAGCAGAAGCAGTGACCAGAAAATTATCTGAAACAGGTGTCATGGAACATAGCACAAAGTTTCTATAGTAGCTGAAAAGGGGAAAGTATTAATCCAAGCCCCTTAAACAACATATGCTAGCATAAAATTCAAAACAGAAAACAGTTGATTCAAGTGTCTTTGTTAGTTTTTATATACTATGCAGTTTTGTTTAATGAAGAAAAGAAAGCAGATATGGGAAAACATTCCAGTTTTGAGAGGATTTGTCCTTTCAAGAGATGAACTCCACGTTGCATCCATTTAACACAAGTTTATGATTTAAAAAATACTCCAACAGAGAAGTGCAACTTATTCCATGTCCAGTTTGTTCTACTTGCCCACAAATTCTATCCCCATTTCAAAGCAGTATTTGCTGCTAGTATTTTTGTGATAAAAAAATGTGTTTGCAAAAACTAGTGATCCAATGCATTCTAAAGTTAGCTGTGTTAATGCTAAGCAGTGAATTGCCAACCACAGATTGGGCATCTGATATCTCCAGATCTTCAGCCCAAGATATTAACACTCAACTGAGTACACTTTCCACAAAATTACATCAAGACATTAAGCCAGAACCTGAACAGCAGCCTGTTGATGTAGAGAATGTTTATTTCTAACACGTCCCCCTTCAGTTACATCCACCCACTTCAAACAAACACTAGACAAGTGCAATAAAACCAAAGCAGATAAATACCCCTAAGTTTCAGTATCACACTGACTGCCACTGTTGAAGTCAGGATGGAATTCCTCCATATAAAACTTGCCAGCTGAAATCTGTACAGGGTTGTGGTATTGTTATTTTTTGCTTCTCTGTTTATTACAAGCCATCGTCTGCTTGAGCTATACAGGTGTGCTTTAGAATACTCCCTTGCCCACAAAGAAGTGATATGGGCTCCTTTACTTACACCTGCCCCATTCTGCAGCAACACAAATTACATTATAAACAGTTAAACTGCTTAAGATTTTCAGGTATTACCAATCCTTTATTTTAAACAATTGTCGCAAACAATGTGTCAAGGTGGCTTCTCAATGAAAGGTACAGCCTTTAGAAAAGAACAAAAACCTTCTATATGCCTACGATCTTCTGCAGCCCACTACTTCAGGTGTGTACAAGGTAACTTTCATCTCTAACATTTAGCTGTCACTTTTAAGCAAAACAGAAAACGTCTAAGGAGATTTCCTTACTTAGCGCCATAGTACATTAGTACATTGCTTTCCATGCGCTGAAGCTTGTCTAACTCAACACAGGATGACAAGCTGCTGTACCGTTGATCCCGAACAGCCAACAAGATCTACTTAATGGCTCAGACATCCCGAAGTAACTAAAGCCTTCAGCAATTAGAGGAACAGATGAATTCAAAGCAGCTTCTGCTGTGCTGAATGGCACCTACACACTGCAGGGCGGGGGGAGAAGCAAGAAGATCTAAGTCATTGGGTGACAGCTCTGGAAAAGCACAAGACTCCCTGACACAGAACACAGACTTATCAAAAATGGTATGTACTAGTGTCCCTTCTCAATGATACTATTTATTCTGGGAGATTTTCCTTTGTATGACAGTTGTCAACTCAAGGAAAATTCAAGACCTAGAAAAATTAACACTTCAGTTATCATTACTGGTTTTCTTACATGCCTTTCACTATATGGTCCCAAGTCAAGATACAACAGTTTTAAAATACAGTATTGACACCAAATTACAATCAAGAGGGTATTTTTTACTAAATTCTTTTTCAGTAGAAATTACACTGCTAAATTTACTGCAACATCCAAAACCTACCTTCTTACAAACAGAAACATGTTGTGAATGAATAAGAAAGCCAAGCATTATCCAAGTAAACCATTCTTGTGCTTGCCTGCATATAGCCCCATCTGCACTATCCCCTGACATCATTCTAATGATAAACATGGCAGGTAAGGCTCCATCAAACATCCAAGCAAGCATCTTCTAAGATGCACCCAATCAAATGTGCATGGTCAGAAAGATGCCTATGATACAGGAAAGAATGGTATGAAAGCTGGTATGAAAACTCACTATCCCTACCTAGGAAGCAGGGGACATTTAGCTACAATGAACTACTGGAATCAGGTATTTTGTATGAACATTACTAAGAGCTGGTTCACACATGCAAGCGAAATCACTTGATTTCTTATCATTTGGGGTAACTTTTAGCTGAACTAAGCTTTTGTTTCTATTAGATGTATATCCTCATCTGGTAAATAGGTTCAGAACGGCTTACAGCATTTTCTAAATGTCAACAGCTCTGTTCCCAAAGGGCTCACAATCTAAAGAAATCTAACGGTTTGGAGGATAAAAGAGGTCAAATAAAATATAAATGACACTGTAGGCATAGCATATATTTTCTAAAAAGCAAACAGAACCATAAATAACCAATCCAATAAGCCACCCAGAAAACAGTACTTTTTTGCAGTCTCCTGCCAAATGCCTAATCAATGAAATGATACTGCATTAAGTAAACTGGCTAATGCATAGACTTCAGTCCCAGTTCCTCTGGGGCTCTGCCCAGGAGGGAAATGATTCCTCACTCTGTTCTTGGATAAAGAAAATAAAAAGAATTCCTTAGGGTTAAGACATGACAGTCAGTGTGGTGTGGTGGTTATAGGGTGTTGGACTATGACCTGGAGACTCAGGTTCAAATCCCCCCTCAGCCATGAAGCTCACTGGGTGACCTTAGGCCAGTCACTGCCTCTCAGCCTAACCCACCTCACAGGGTTGTTGTGGGGATTAAACAAGGGAGAACAACGTACACCACCTTGAGCTCCTGGGGGGGGGGGGCGGGGAGTGGATAAAAATACAAAAAATAAAGGTAATCCAAGCACCAAAGTGTTTCAAGCAATGAGGCAATATAAAAATGTGGTGGCTTGTATACTGTATACTTGTATACTGGTGGCTCATATACACATTGTGATCATGCAACAGTGGGACAGCACTATGGGCACAATGACATGCCCATAAATGAAGCACCACACATGCTCATCTATACTTGGAATGCTATAAAACCACAATAAGAAACTGCATTTGCAAAAATGGAACATCATCCAACTAAAATAAGGGGGGAGCCTCTGGACATATGCAGCTTCACTTGCACATAAAAAGGTAAAGGACCCCTGACCATTAAGTGCAGTCGCAGACAACTCTGGGTTGCGGTGGGGCCCTCATATTACAGAGCATGGCCATATCTAGCACATCTGGAGAAAAAGCTCTGGCACTGCTTATTTCCTCATCTTATATCCCTCCTGGAAAGAAGAAACAAATATGCATACTGCCTCAAGAACAAAGACTGTGTAAGGACACTGCATGTTGTTGTTTAGTCGTTTAGTCGTGTCCGACTCTTCGTGACCCCATGGACCAGAGCACGCCAGGCACTTCTGTCTTCCACTGCCTCCCGCAGTTTGGTCAAACTCATGCTGGTAGCTTCGAAGACACTATCCAACCATCTCGTCCTCTGTCGTCCCCTATCCCAACATCAGGGTCTTTTCCAGGGAGTCTTCTCTTCTCATGAGGTGGCCCTAAGTATTGGAGCCTCAGCTTCACGATCTGTCCTTCCAGTGAGCACTCAGGGCTGATTTCCTTAAGAATGGAGAGGTTTGATCTTCTTGCAGTCCATGGGGCTCTCAAGAGTCTCCTCCAACACCATAATTCAAAAGCATCAATTCTTCGGCGATCAGCCTTCTTTCTGGTCCAGCTCTCACTTCCATACATCGGTACTGGGAAAACCATAGCTTTTACTATACGGACCTTTGTTGGCAAGGTGATGTCTCTACAGTGGTGCCTCGCAAGACGAAATTAATTCGTTCCGCAAGTCTCTTCGTCTTGCGGTTTTTTCGTCTTGCGATGCACGGTTTCCCATAGGAATGCATTGAAAATCAATTAATGCGTTCCTAGGGAAACCGCCTTCAGACCAGGTCCGGGGACAGACTGTCCCCGGACCTCTTCTGAAGGCTGGGGGGGGACAAGGGCTTTTCTTCCCACCCCCAGCATTTTAAAAAACCCTGGGACAGCGGAGGACTTCTCCGCTGTCCGGGCGATCTTAAAATGCTGGCGGGCGGCATTTTAAAATCGCCCCGGGACAGCGGAGGACTTCTCCGCTGTCCGGGGCGATTTAAAAGCCCCTGGGAAGGCAGGCAGGGGGGACAAAGACTTTCGCCCCCCGCCCGCCTTCAGAAGGTGTTCCCGCCCCCCCCCCCGCCCGGCTTCGCAGCAGCGCTACGAAGCCCGGCGGCTGGGGCAAGTGTTCCCGCCCCCCCACCCCGCTTCGGAGCAGCGTTCCGAAGCGGGGTGGCTGGGGCAGGTGTTCCCGCCCCCCCGCCCGGCTTCGCAGCAGCGCTACGAAGCCCGGCGGCTGGGGCAGGTGTTCCCGCCCCCCCACCCCGCTTCGGAGCAGCGTTCCGAAGCGGGGTGGCTGGGGCAGGTGTTCCCGCCCCCCCCGGCTTCGCAGCAGCGCTACGAAGCCCGGCGGCTGGGGCAGGTGTTCCCGCCCCCCCCACCCCGCTTCGGAGCACCGGGAGAAGCGATCTCCCCGCAGCCCCTTGCTTCAAAAGAGGTCCGGGGGCAGACCTCTTTTGAAGCAAGGGGCGGTGGGGAGAAGCGATCTCCCCGCCGCCCCTTGCTTCAAAAGAGAAGACCCGCTGTCCCCGGGGCAAGCTTCGTTTTGCGAAGCAAGCCCATAGGGAAATTCGTCTTGCGAGGCAACTCAAAAACGAAAAAACCTTTCGTTTTGCGAGTTTTTCGTCTCGCGAGGCGTTCGTCTTGCGGGGTACCACTGTACTTTTTAAGATGCTGTCTAGGTTTGTCATTGCTTTTCTCCTAAGAAGCACTGCATAATCCTCCTTATTAGAGAAGTCAGGGATTGAACCTGGGACCTTCTGTACACAAAGCACATGTTCTACCACAGTCTTTTCCTTGAACAGTAGAGAAACAATGCAGCACTAATGGCAGCTGCTTCTAGGGGTTGAGAATGAGAATATGTACACATATATAACCGTTCCTCCTCTGTGTCCTGGAGGAGAGGCATGAAGAGGAACACAAGGGGAGGTATTTATAGCCATCTGTATGCAAGAGAAATCACAAGCAGGAAGATAGTTTAAACCAGGGGCCAGCAACCTAAGGCCCATGGGCCGGAAGCGGCCTGCGGAGGTCATTTTACTGGCCCCCGAGCCACCCCTGCCCACTCTCATGCTGCACTAAACTGGCGCCGCACGCCGCAGGGACTCGCTTCCACGACGCCGAAAATCGCATCTGTGCACATCATGTCTGCACAGACGCAGAAAAACACGGTCGTGCGTGCAATCCGGCCCACAGAGGGATCTCCGCGGGACCAATCCGTCCCAGGCAAGATAAACCTTGCTGACCCCTGGTTTAAACTAAGCTGTTTTTGAACCAAATTGCCAAGGCAGTCTGTAAGAAGTAAACGAGGTATATTCAAATGGAACATACACCTTTGAAATGCATTCCATATCCATACTCTGATAAATTCAGCTTTTGCTCTTGAGCACATTTGTTCTCACATATGCTTGTTCACTCTCTCCGGAGGCCAGGGGTATTTGGAATTTTAAAGAACAGAGCTGACTTATTATTCATATTCTTTCAGTTGTTACAGCACAGATGCTATTTAACGGATGATATGTTTATGAATGTGGATGCCCAAAATCCATATAGATGCTGCTACTATAGGTCATTAATTATATCAATTAAATCTCATTAGCACTGCAAATGTATCTGTGGCTTGTTTGTTTGTATTAAAGCACAGCTCACTGGCCCCAGAGACAAAACTAAAAATTGCCACCAAACAATGAGTGCTATAGCTCTAGATGTTGTGCCTCATGACGTGGCAAAGGATACTGTTGCTGCCCCAGCATACAGAGCTAACTGGGTGTGATGAAGAATGGGGACTGAACTGTTCCACTACAGTTATGGATGAAGCGTCCCATATTTTAACATCATCATCTCCCGATGAAGCAAATCGGATGCTTTCCTGCATGGCTGCACCTAGAAGCAGAAAGAAGAAAATGCAGGTGAGATTGGTCATACCTATTAACAATTATTCTAAATGACAAAATATTCTTCGTTATAATTGGCAGAAGTGTAAAGCTAGGCAGGTTAATACAATAAGTTATGGAAAACATTTGAAGCCCAGACATTTCCTGTTGGGCAGCCTTATGTTCACAGCTAATTGTTTGAAAATGATCAGATCAATTATGAAAATAAACACCTGTTTTGAAGTTCCATATGAGGCAAAATATAAAGTCAAAAGCAATTAAAATCATATGTTGGGATGCATTCTGAATTATGAACATTCCAGGATTTATTTACTCAAGTATTTATTATTATTTACAGCATTTATACCCACCTTTCAGGCAAACAGACTCTCAGAGCAGCTTACAAAATCAGTTCTAAGGCAGGCCCTGCCCTCAGTCATACAATCTAAAAAGACACAACACATGAGGAAAAAGGAATGGGAGAGAGGAGAGAAGAGAAGAGAAGAGCATGCTCTTAAATATTACCATCCTTAAAGCTACAGCCAAGGTCAATGCTAGTTCTGGCTGCCTTATTTATTTAGTTTCTATACTCCTCTTTACCACCAATGACCTTGGATGGTTTACATTAAAAAAACTACAAAACACAACATTAGAAATTAAGAAGAACTAAAATCCGTACCAGAATGTGCAGCAGCGGCAGTTACCAAAAACAAGTGCACCCAAAAGCCTTGATGAAGAGGTATGTCTTCATCTGGCAGTGAACTCTATTAAAAAATGTAGGTGCCCTGCTACATTTATGATAGAAGAGTTCCATAGCTAGGGTACCACTATAGAAACAGACCTGTCACAAGCAACAGCCCAATGTAGCACAGATACTGTAGGATATATACTGAAGGGAATCTTATGTGGATCTTCTTTCCTGTATCAATCTAATTTCCAGACTTAAATCTGTGTTTCAGTAAAAACAAAGAATTGCCAGTTTCCAACAATAATTATTCAGGACAAGCCTGGGAAAAAATATGTTGGCAAATCACATTTGAATTCTGATGCCTGTCCCACTAAATTGTAAGGCAGCAGACAAGTTCAGAAAGAAAATCCACAAATTATCTGCTCCCCATGCACCTTATTATAGAATTTCTACCCGCTTGTATTGATTAAAAAGATTCAAAGGAGCTTACAAATAACTTTTTTAATTGCATCAATACATAGTAAAAACAACCCAACATTTACTAAAACCAGTATATAGTAAGAATAAGAACTTCAGTTGAAAAGCATTAAACTGCTGTTGACATCCACCTTACATCAGGCGTGCTCTGGTCCATGGGGTCATGAAGAGTCGGACACGACTAAACGACTAAACAACAACAACAAAGGCACCAGTTGAAGACCAACAGCCTAGAGTTTATACATAGCGGTAGGAGCATTTATGAAGTTGCCATAGAATTGCTACTTACCACCAGTTAACAGATAAAGTGAAATTGGTGTGTGGGTGTCCACATTCAATATGAGACTACAAATGTCACTCCATTCACAAATGTGATTTTGGTGTGACAAAAAAATTGGATGGAGGAGCACTTATGCTGCTGATGGGGGACAAGCTGCAATGAACCTGCTTCCATCCTGCCTGCCCAGCTAGTTGCTCACTCAGGGTCAGGCATTCAGTAGCTGTAATCTAGTTTATTCATTTGCCATAAGCAGGAGGGGAGAGTGAAGTTGCACTCAGGCCCTGCTTTCAGGTTCCCATAAGCATCTGGACCGCCACTGTGACAGCAAGTTGCTGAAGTAGACAGGCCTTGGCCCTGATTCACCAGGGCTTTTTCTTATGCTAAGAAACAATTTGATTGATATCCTATGCCCTTTTAAAATGTGTTGGGGAGGTTATGGGGTTGTTGTTTAAACTATTTTGATTATGTACTTTGTGGTTTTATATTCTGATTTCATCCTGTGAACCGCCCTGAGACCTGCGGGTACATATAGGGCAGTATACACCGGCTTTGTAAGAGACACTGAGGTAGTTCAAGAGCCACTTCTGGTTACAGTGGTACCTCGGGTTAAGTACTTAATTCGTTCCGGAGGTCTGTTCTTAACCTGAAATTGTTCTTAACCTGAAGCACCACTTTAGCTAATGGGGCCTCCTGCTGCCGCCGCGCCGTCGGAACACGATTTCTGTTCTCATCCTGAAGCAAAGTTCTTAACCCGAGGTACTATTTCTGGGTTAGCGGAGTCTGCAACCTGAAGCGTATGTAACCTGAAGCGTATGTAACCCGAGGTACCACTGTAGTTCCAAGGGGAACAACCTGGGGCAAAGGAGAAGGGGGGCAGGAGGAGGAGGAGGGCCGAGACATCCCCACCCGGTGGCTCCCACCTCTCACTGAGGGCGGATAAAGCTGTTCCAGGTGGGGCAACCAGTTCAAAGGACAAAGGGTCCCTACACCCCTCAGGGCAAAACAAGCGCCCAATCCCAGCCAATCAGGGGCCTCTGTGTCCCAACAGGTGTCAAATCGCCACCGAGGACCAGAGGGAGAACTCCGCCAGCTGTCAGGTAACCCGCCAGGGACTGCCCCCTCCCCCCAAACCCCCACAATAACAGACCCCCCCCCCGCGCCTCCCCTTCCTCACCTCCCCGCTTGGCCGGGACGCCCCGCGTTAAGTCTTCTTTCTACCCCATGCGACTCATTTCCCCGGTCGCTGGGCAGAAGAAGAGCCCCAAACTTTCGAAGCAGCAGCCGCCGCTTTCGGTTTCTTTATCTCGTGAGGCAAAACGGGGCCGCTAAAAGCGCAGCTTCCGCGCTCCTTACAACTTAGCGGCCCGTCCCAACATCCACCGCGGGACTGGGCTCACTACCCCCCCCCTCCGCCGGTCAGCGAATTTCCTTTACGGCAGCCGAGGGAGGACACAAGAGAGAAGGAGCCGCGTTCGCGTTCCCTGGTTGAAAGGGAGAGGAGGGAGGGGAGAGAGGAAGAAGTGGGCGGGGCTTCCATTCAAACCGAACCGTCGGCCAACGAAGTTGGTGAGGTCACGCGGCGGAGTGCTTCTGTTGTCGTCGTTTCGTCCCGCTGGTTTGAAAAGCGGCGTTGGTGTGACCAGGAGGGTGGCTCGGCCCGGGCTGCTCCCTGGAGACTTCGTGGAAAGCAGCTGGGCTGCTTGGTTGTGCTCTTCTGACGCGCTAACAGGAGAATGCCAAAAGTTCATGCCAGATGAGGTTAACACTTTATAATCGTTTCATGTCGGTGAAAAGATCCATCAGGATGATGAGAGTTAACTGAATTTGTATTGCGCGTCCGGTGCTTTGTTGTCAGAGCCCGGGATGTCCTCAGACTCAGTCAAGAACTGTCTTGAAAGCTTATGGAACAGTCGAAGGTGTTTGTACTTGGCTATGAATGGTGTTTTTTTACTTCATTTTGACAAGGCTTTAAAAAACAACAAGGCTGGATTATTTATTCCCATAATATGACATGGTGCAGCATATTAAATTTTCTCAAAAATAATGGTGCCTGAAGGGGGGGGGGATATCAAATGTGATTTATATATGTGCAACAAAAATGATTGAGCATAGTGATGGACGCCAACATTAAAAGATAAGACAAATTCATGAAGGATTGGGTTATTCATAGCTACTAGCCAGTACACTTCTGAGTACCAGTTGCTAGGAATCGCAGGTGACTAGAGGGCTGTTGTTGTATTCAGGCCCTGCTTCTGAACTTCCCACAGCCATCTGGGTGGTCACTGAGAACAGAATGCTGGACTAGGTGGGATCAAGAGCAGGGTTTTTTTCTCCATTACAATGACTTCTATTTAGGTGTAAGAATTTGCTGCAGAATCCAAAACTACATCTGCTGAAAAACAGATTAACCTTATGTTTTGTAATGTGTGAATGGATGTTGTGCTGATCCTTGTCCTAAGCCATCTGGAACTAGGAATTTTACTGTGCCATCCTTGTAAGTCACATGGAGTTCAACAGATCTTACCCTTAGGTAAGTTAGTATATGGTTGCAGCCTTTGATAGCTTCGTTCCCACATGGTCAAGCCTACAGCACTGAAGTTGAAGGCATCTCTCCCAGCCTATCTTTGGCCAGCCTGCCCCAGAGGAGAAGGATCTCTCTTTTTATTCTCCCTGCTTCTTCCCAGCACACCTTGCTAAAGACACTATTTTCCTGTCACCTCACACCCAATTATCCTGGCAACCTTCCAAATCCCCAATCTCTGTTCACAAGTTGGGGTTGGGGTTGGGGTGGGGAAGGACAGTTCTGTTGCATTGCCAATGATCTTCAGTGGCCCTTTATTGTTTCTTAATCATAGAATTGTAGAGTTGGAAGGGACCCCAAGGGTTATTGAGTCCAATCTACTGCAATGCAGCAATCCTGCCCACAGCTATCCCTGGGTGGGCTCAAAACACCAACCTTCTGGTTGGTTAACAGCCAGATGCACTGACCCATTGGGCCCCAGCTTGGCCATGTCATTTTGCATAGGCTGGCTTAGGAATTCCTCTGCAGCTTGTATTTCTCCCTTCGCCTAGACCAAAGTATGCAAGTGTGCTGTGAGCTGGGTGGGCAGCATATGAATTTAGCTGTGATGATGGAATTCCTCATAAACTAAAAAGAAAAAAAATCTTGGTGGCAGAGGAATTGGGGGAAAGGTATTCAGGAGGCCTGTTGGCCACTTGTCTGGCAGGTCATTTGTGCATCTATATCCAGACATGAATTGACTCACTTTGTGATTTCCAACTGAGCTTGTCAATTATTTTCTGCAGCCCTAATTTATAAGATATTTCTCTAGTTCAATTTGAAAAATTCATCAGACATGAAATTTAACAAATCATGAATTATAATTAATAAAACATGAAAATCTATTTTGAAAATCTATTTAGTTTCAGACATACAATTTATTTTATTGAATTGTTGCATAAGAACTTGCTTTTCTCCAACTTCCTTATAGTAGTAATTTTTTCAGTGTATCCTTCTAGAACTTGAAACAAATTCTTAATCTCAGATGTTTGCTATGATGTTTGCTTCAGTTGCTATGGTTACAGCAGTATCATCCTTACTATTTTTCAGCTGTGTTAAGAGGTGTTGAAAATTCTTACTTTATTAGAAATATCTTAAAAGCATAAACTATTTAAAAATGTGGCAAGTGTCATATTAAATGTTTATTTTAATTGCCATGACAGGTACCATGTGGATTGTTGTGCGAAGACAGTGATTCTAAAACAGATTTTAATTTAATTACTAATATATCCTTTAATCTGGGTTTCAAACTGTGTTACTCATTTTAATTAAGATGCCTACTATGCCTCAAGCAGAACTTCAAAGTGCTTTAAAAATGAGCTTGTGCCTTTTTGCTTATGATACATAAACATCTCTTGGAAAATCCTTCTCAGAAAGGGGAGTGGGTCTTTATTCTGCTGTGCTTTTTATCTTTGAACCAAATATGCAATGCTTTTCTTCTCTTTTGCTGGAGGTATTCTTGAAGAGCACCAGAAAAAGGATGAGGGAATTTCATTCATCTTTTAACTAAAGAGTGAGAGAGAGAATTAAGCCCCTTGCTACTTGTTCTTAGGTATTTGGGTTGATAGTTCACTATCTATTCATCTATTCTGAATCTTCCAATATTCAGCTTCACTGGATGAAGGTTCTAGTATGTATTATGAGAAAAGGAGATTTAGGATTAAGGGAGTCCTTATACATTCTTACCACCCTCCCCAACAGCTGTGCTGAGTGTATATAGGCTGGATATGTCATTTTCTTCCCTATGCAGCCACTGCTGCAGTAACTTCAGTAAGGATGGGAAACTCCAGTCCATGGACTTTATCTGGCCTACTAAACTTCTTAACCCAGCTCCGGGCACTCTCCTAAGCCATGCTCCCCACTAGGTCACACCCCCTCACATGTCTCACTCTGCAGCGAGATGGCCATGAAGGAACAGATTTCTTCCTACGTCACCAGTTAACTCTGTTACTTCCCTGCACACCAGAAGACAAGGTGAGAAAGGGGGAAAGAGTGTGTGTGTGTTTAGAGAGAGAGCTGTGAGTGTGTTTTCACCTTGCCCACTTCAAGCATGCATCTCCTGATCACTTTCACATGAGGGAATTTAGTGCTTTGGGGGAAAGTTCCCTACTCCAGCAAGCCTGCATGCCAAGAGAAAGGACTGTGGAGACCATTTACACATTTCTAACTTGCAAAATAAATACTATCAAAAGTGAAAAGCTAAAATACAAGCATGATTTTTAAATAATTTTTAATATCTTTGTATTCAGTATTTTTAAACATTAGCAATACAATGGAACCACGGGTATTTGAAAGCAAGTAAAGCATTTAGGACTAGCAAGTTGGTTAGTTTAGACTTTAATTGATAGTTGGATGTATTACTGAATTACAAGGGGGAGGGGAGTTGATAGATACACCTGGACCAAACCCCAATAGCCAGAGCACAGCTCGGACATAGCACAATAAAAAGCTTGCATTATATCAGTAGTGCCCGAACATTCATGAATAACAACCAACTGCTGTTCAGCATGGAAGCCTGCAAAATTTGAAAAGCAACAACCTCTACTGAAAGGTGGACATTCACTGGAAAAATGTCTTCAAATCCCAGAAGCTCAAGTAAGAAAATCATTTCTGGTTCAATAATATCACTTCTAAGCAGTTAAGACAAATGTAAAAACCTACATTTAACTTACTAGGTAGCTTTAAGAGAAGGAATACTAACTGTTCCAACTATGGAGAGGATATAAAGTCTGGAAAAATACAGAAGCAAAAAAAATATCTTAATTTTCAATTAGAAGAACAACAAAAATGAAACATAAATCAGTTAGTGGAGTGTAAATTTTAAAATATTTTAAACCAAAAAGTTTACATAGTAAATTAAA